GCGGAAGAACTCAACACATTATCACCGCTTCTGTTAGGATTTCCACTTGGGCCGCCGCCACCACCGGCAGAACTGCCAACACCAGATACTTGTGGCAAAGTAATAAGTGATTTTTTGGTGTCTTCTTTTCCTGAAGCTCCTGCTGCTGGTGGTGGAGGTAGCCCTGATTCTTCACTGCCATCATCACCATCATTCGAATCATTATCTTCTTTCTTTTTCTCAGCATCATCATCTCCAACAACTTCACCTGCAGCTCGGGATGGTGACGCGTTTCCCTGATGCTCTGGCTGACTTCTTTCTGAGTCCGAGAGGTTTGGTTCTGGCAGTAAAGGTCTTGGCGATCCCAGCGTATCTTCACCACCACTCGAAGAACCGCCGGCTTTACCGTCAACATCCAAATCGTCGACACTTCCACCGCCGGCACCGCACCACAGCACGCAGAGGGCACACACCAGCAGCACACGGCCAGCCATCATCATCGCCATCACTCCTGTCACTTGCGTGCAGCCTTCACCAAAAAATAACTCCCCGTCAACGCAGAGTGAAAGCAAAGGGTGAGAGACACGGCCGCTAAACCACGCAACGTCACAAAAGGCAGCAGCACGCATTTAATGAGAAATACCAAGCCAATGAAAGTGCAAAAAACGCACAGCGACCTGCAACAATTTAACAACAACAAAACACAAAAGTAAACAAGCAGCAATAAAGTAAAAAATGTAAAAACACAAAAAAAGAGCTGCGCCCAAATGGCTCCAGTGCGCATGCACCCATCCTCAACAGTGCGTCCACTTAAACAGTCGTGTGCGTCTCGTGCATATGAGTGTGTCTGAGACGCGTTCAACGTGACGGATGTGGGAAGCAACGCGGAGCACACAGCAAGGCAGCGGAAGCAAACAAAGCAAAAAACTATCATCATAATTACTCTTACTTCATACATCGGACCACAGTAGACGCACAAATGTCCCCGCGGCTGAGTGCTGGCACGCACAGCCCACGCTCCCTTTCAGCCCACAGCGGTGCACGCCAGCGCGGATACTGCGAGCAGCAGCGGGGCACACACCCACGCAGAGCTGCTGAGGCTGCCGTCGATTTCGCGAAGACGTGACAGTGCGCGGGTGGTCGTCGTGGTTGACGCCTCCGTAGTCGTAGTGGTACTTGGTGCCTGTGGCGCAGTAGTCGTCGTGGTGGTCGTAGTACTTAGTGCATTTTCCTTCTGAATTTGTGACGACACCGAACCGACCGTCCCAATTTGTGGCACTGGGTTAGCGGGCCCACCTGAACCCCCTGACTCACCTGACCCACTTGGTTCCTGTTTCGTACTAAGCTCAAGGCTTGTTGTATCTGAACCGTCTGGCAGAGCAGGTCCAAGATCTGTCCCTTTTTCGGAATCGCCCGTCCTGCCTGATGTCTGTTCCCCACCGCCCGGGTTTTTTAACCCCGGCGTGTCTTTCTCACCTGGATTTTGTACCGTGCCGTTCCCGGAAACTTGTTCCTTGTGATTTTTCGTTCTCACTTCGTGGATGTTCCGCACTGTTTCCGGAAATCCTGGCGTACCGGCCATTCCACCTGCCCCCTTTCCGG